CGTAGCCGTATGTCGACTATGTGGCCAGAAAGTCAAGCGTGGCCAGGGGGGGCCCATGTTGGGACTACAGCGTTGCGTCAGCATATGCAGCATCGCCATTCGGTGGCCTGGGAAAAACCGTGATAAAGATACGGCGGTTCTGCCTGCCCCAGCCCCCGCTCCATCACCCGCTCCGTTACTTGCTCCGTCACCCGACGTCAATCGCCCTCTATCAGCCAGTCAAGGCTCCAACACCTCTGCTGAGGGGGAGTTGTCGCTCGTTGGCATCTTCCGCTCGTTCAGATGCTCCTTCTCCTGCTACTGCTCTTCACAGATTCCGTCAGCAGTCTTTCTTGGAATCCGTTTCCAAGAGACAACAGTTTGCGAGCACGCACCCGACGGTGCAGAAGCTGAACGTCCTCCTGTCCAAGTTGCTGGTGCTGCAGTCCTCCCTTTCCAAGTGGTGGACTCAGCACCTTTCCGAGAAATGATGGCTTGTGCCGAGCCGCGGTGGTGGAGAGTGCCAAGCCGGCATTTCTTCGCCAAAAAGGCAGTGCCAGCCTGCATTCACATGTAGAAGAGATGGTGGGCCAGTCTTTGAGCATGTCGGTCTCTGCCAAAGTGCACGGCAGCGCTGACGTGTGGAGCTGTAACTACGGTCAGGGACAGTACATGTCATTTACGGCCCACTGGGTGAACGTGGTGCCGGCACAGCCGCACCAGCAACTTGGACAGGTCACGCCGCTTTTGCCTCCACGTTTGCACGTCCTTGGTCCAGCAAAGATGTCCGCCTCTACCACCTCTTCTTCCGCCGTGTCCTCAGCCGCCACCCCCGTGCCAAGTCCCATTACCCAACCGGCATATCACATGTGCAGGGCGCAACGGTGTCACGCTGTGCTGCACCTGGTATGCCTTGGCGAACGTAGTCACACAGGGGAGGAACTTCTGAGTGTAATGAACAGAGAAATCGACAGATGGCTGTCTCCGTGCAAACTGAAAATCGGAACCATGTTGACCGACAACGGAAAGAACATGGTGTCTGCTCTGCGTCAAGGAAGGTTTGTGCCATGCGCCATGCATGGCTCACGTGTTCAATCTGGTTGTCAAGCGGTTCCTAAAATCCACCATCCCACTGCAAGACATCCTTAAAATGTCACGTAAACTTTGCATGCATTTCAGCCATTCCTACACCGCAAAGCACACCCTCCTTGAGCTGCAGCGGCAGAACGGAATTCCACAGCATCGCCTGATCTGCGACGTTGCAACAAGGTGGAATTCAATCCTACATATGTTAGACCGCCTTTACGAACAGCGAAAGGCCATCACCGATTTCCTGATGTTACAAGCGGATAAAGGTACTCCCCTGTGTAACTTAGATGTCAGCCATTGGCAGCTCATGCGTGACACCTGCGCTTGCTCAGGCCCTTTGAGGAGGCCACGCTATTCGTGAGTCGGCAGGACTATGGGATGATGAACGACGTCATTCCTCTTTTGCACGTCCTGGAACAAATGCTGTTAACAATGGCTGGTCAGGGTGTGGTAGACGTGGCGCACAGATCTCAACGCCACATGACCCCTGTGGGGGCAGGACAGGAAGAAGAGGAGGAGGTAGAGGAGGACATTGGTGCTCAGGAATTATTGAGTGAAATGGGTGGTTTTTCCACTCAGCGGACAGGAGTGGAGGAGCAGGAGCATCTGGTAGAGGAGGAGGAGGAGACAGAGGACCAGACGCACCGTGGCAGTATGCTGTGGAGATGGAGGCAGGGAGTCCCTCGCATTCCTTGGCACAAATGGCCCACAATGTCTCCTCACACTGCTGGTGGGTTCCATTTTGTCATAGGGTGCTGTATGGCCTCCCATTGCTGCTGCCTCCACCGCCACACTGTGGCTCCACACTCTGGTTTTGGCCCCGTGACTGCCCAAATGAGTGAAGTGTGCGGTGATTCTAAGATCGACGGCACTCATCTGCATGTCATACTGACTGACAGTATTATTTCTCTTCCCCAGCAGACTCCAAGGGCATTTAAATTAAAGGTACAGTGTTCTGCACTAATATAAAGGCTCTCTGAAGCCTAGAGAAACACCCTTTTTATAAGTTAAATTCGCAGCGAATATATTCGGCTCGAAGCGAATTTATTCCGTGAATTCGGCGAATCAGCCGAACTGGAATTTTTGAATAATTCGCTCATCTCTAATATCACGTGTGCTCCTGACCTGCTGGCAAAAGGTGAAACTGCTGCACCATGCAGTTCCATGTGGTGCATTTTTAGGGCCAGTTCACGCTGTTGCTTTTTTTTGTCATTCAAAATGCACAGAACGTAGGTTATATGGTTGTTAGTGTCATAGTCAACATCAGTGTTTGCAGTTCCAGTGTGTTCCAGTCGCAGAAAAAAAGTAGAACAGGCTGCACTTTTTTTCTGCACAGAGCTTTACTGCAATGTGGTAAAACACATCAAAACCGCACTGGAACGTATTGGAATGCACCGTCAAAAATGCACTGGAATGCACATGTCCCTATTTAAATTGAAAAAAATAGAGGGGAAAAAATTAACTGGAAAGCATAAAATATGCACTGGAACTCGTAAAAAACGCATCAAAAACGCACTGGAACACGTCAAAAATGCACATGCAGAAACAAATCCGCAATGCATGTGGACTGTGTTTCTATAGTGTAAACTGGCCCTTAACCAAGGTTCAGGAACTTTTTTGCCATGTTTCTTGTGGGAACAGCAGCCCATTCGAATGATATGTGAACCTAGACTAAGACTCCATTCACACTTGTGTAACTCCAAAGTCTTTTCCAGTGTTTTCCAGTGCAACTTTGGAGCATAACTTTGATGCGACTTTGAGTGTGACTTGGATCTGACTTTACACTCTCTGGATCAAAGTTACATCAAAAATCAAATAATGCCACCTTTTCAAAATTGCTTTAAAATCGCACCAATTGATCGGGTATCATTGAAAAGGATGGGCTGTGACAAATTGCACAAGTGTGAATGGAGCCCAAAGGGTTGAGCAATACTGCTTCAAACTCTAAAGTCACTTGATATGCATAAACAATGTTCCAATTAGATTCGCCACTTGTAAATTTGAGGCCTTTTGCTAACACTTTAACATCTCAATTCATATATGTGCATGCCATAAGACTACTTTCAGGAGATGTCATTTCAACCTATTCTTACAATTTTCATTTTTTGTCTTGGTGGAAGCTGGGGCATCCAGAGGAAATAATTGAACAGCAGACAATTGCCTTGCTGCAGATCAGATCTTGTATCAGAAGAAATTGAAATAACTGCCCTTTCTTATCTGAGCACAAATCAAGATTTCACAGACAGATATTGGCAACAGTATGTTTTATAGTCTACTTTACATATTAGATCTGTGGATGGCTATAGCCAAATAAACAGAACTGAATAAACTGGTAATTACATGATAAGCTGTGCAACATCTCTTAGATTGTAAGCTCCACAGAGCAAGGCCCTCCTAACCCTTTTGTATTGAACTGTATTGTTGCTGTATTGTCTCCCTTTATATTGTAAAGCGCTGAGCAAACTGTTGGCGCTATATAAATCCTGTATAATAATAATAATATCTAAAAAAACAAATGCATTCTTGTGTCATGTATATCCTGGCACTGGCAATGTGTTATTGTTGTCAAACAAACATACAATATTTTGCAATAAAAACTAAAAAAAAACCCCAAGGTGTTTAATTTGTCTATATAAAAAAGGGTAAAGCCTAACAAATGCCAAAAAACTTGTTAGTGTAAGAATTTCAATAAAATGTTGAAAACTTGCAAACAATGAAAGATTCATTAGCTATGTTACGATCCGTCAAACATGTTGACCTTCAACATACTGCATGGTTTGTATCACACAAATATAACATTTGATGAGGTCACTCTCTTTGCGGCCAAAAAATCTGATGTAATGAGATTTGATAACGATTTTCATATGTGTTTCCTTGGTCGGAGCCAAAATAACTCAAATTATTCCATTACAGACTAAAGCAAAAGCATTTTTGGAGTGACCTTGCCAAATAATCTCATGATTACATCACCAATGCACAAGAACTAACAATTTTCATTTTTTGCCTTTTTAAAATATGTTGGCATTTAAAGTGGAACCAAATCCAGAGTATAAAGAAACGTCATTCATGCCTATAAAGGTGCTAAACTTTCATCAATTTTATAAAATGACTGGGATTCACAAGGCAATTTTATATACTTTAGCCATGGGTTATGAGAATTTCTGAAAAAGCCTTTATTATAACATAAATCTAACGTTATTTCATTTTTAAGCCAGGTAACAGAATGTAAACCCTTTTTATCTACAGTCATGGCCAAAAATATTGGCACCCCTGCATTTCTGTCAGATAAGGATTGCATGGAAAGTATCAAATTTGGCTTTTTGTTTCTCCACCTTTTTGTGTCCTACCAATACAAATAAATGAAATAAACACGAAAATGCCTAAACATCTGTAATTGCAACAATTTTCTGGGTGCAGTGGTGCACTATCTGACAGAAATGCAGGCAGTGCCCCACCCCTATGTTTGCGAGTGTGTGCTGCATGTCTGGTGGTCCTGTCAAAGGTCCAACGATTCTGGATCAGGATATTTAATCTTCCCTACTCGGTAATGGAGGTGAATATATCTAAAAATGCTAAGACAGCATTACTTACTGACCTGTTGGATGAGATCCCCAGACATCTTAGAACCCTTGTCTTTTTTATCTTTTTAGCGGCAAAAATTACCATAGCGCAAGCGTGGAAATCCCCCATGGTCAACGTTGTGCTGGCCAAAACCAACATTTCTTGGATTATGCATCACGAAAAACTGGCATGTAAACTCCTGGACAAGCAAACTAGTTTTGAAAAAGTTTGGAACCCTTTTATTAGATATCTCTAATCTCCTCAGTGACTGGGGGGAGTCCTAGGGGTTGGATGTCTGGGCCGAGGGGATCCATTATTCTCCCCTTTCTTCTCTCTCTACTCTTTTCCTTTCCTCACTTCTCATTATCTTCAACTTCTCTCATACCTCTCATACGGATACTTAATTGAGGGTTCTAGGATCTTTCTTAGCCTTGATCATACATGGGAGGATGGTACCTCGCCAGGGGCGGACTGACAACTCATGGGGCCCCCAGGCAATAGGGGATCATGGGGCCCCTGTGTCCTCGCCCACACCCAAAAAAGCCTATGAAAAAGCCAATGTAAGGTACCAGGGGCATCTCATGGGGCCCCCTACTGACCCTGCAGCTGATAAACTCACGTTTAGGAGCTGTTCGGTGTTTTTTTCAGCAGCCCCTGAACTCACCCTAATGTTTTCCTATGTGTCCATGTACACATCTTCGTTTACAGTCGTTTACATGCATTTGAGTTTACAGTCAGTTTTTTGAACACAGAAAACTTGCGTTCAGCAGTCGATTTTATCAGCGTTTCAAACGCAAAACGCGGCTAAATGCGTCAAATCGCGTTTATAAGCATTTTCATCTGAAAAATGTTTTTAACTCTTCCAGTTCCGATGCTGTCCAGAGCCTTTTTTTATCATGAAAAATGCATGCAAAGCGTTTTCAAGGTACTCAGATGGACAAAACACTGAAAACAGGATGTTCCTACCAAGCTTGTCACACATTGGAATTACCAATTCACACCTCAGACCTCTCGAACCCTTGGAAACAAAAGATATGTTAATGACCATTCACACCTCAAATTCTTCATGCAGACCCCCTGCCAGGTGGCCTTAATGACTCACTCCACCAGACACTTTCTCAACCTTGGAAACAGAAAAGAAATGTTAATGAGCAACTCACACCTAATTAACACATACTGCTGTCTCTGCTTTTACTCTCTGTATTTCTCTGAAATAGTTAATAATTTACCACTTTTCAGTGCATTCTGGGCATTTGGGAGGTTCTCCTGTGCTTATCTTTAAAAAACTCTTCTAAATGAAAACGCACATAAACGCGCATAAACGCCTTATGCAACCGTGGATTGTCAAGTACCAGGAGTGCAGGGAGAGAGCACAGGAAGACAGATTGCACGGAACCCGACGTGCTGGCGTTTATTGGGGAGGTTTTTGGGGTACAGACAATAGTTCCGTTAGTCCACAGATCCACACCAGAGACAGCAACACAGTAAAGTTCCCTGGAAGGCAATATGGAACAACAGGGGGCTAGTAGTCCACAGGGTTCAGTAGGACAGTGAAGTCGCGGTTTCGTGAGACTTCGGGTTCCTGGGGAGAATTGGGCTCAGTCTTTTGAGCCACATGGGGTTAGTCCACTTACTAGATGCGGGGAGCCGGACACGGAGGGTTACAGTCCACATCGGCAACACAGGGTCAATCCACACAGGCAGCTCCAGGCAGGGAAGGGTTACGTCTGCCAGGCTCACGGGCAGCAAAGGGTTAAGTCCAGGCAGGGGAGAGATCCAGCCCGTAGGCTCACGGGGAACAAGGGGTTAAGTCCAGGCAGGGGAGAGATCCAGCCTGCAGGCTCACGGGAACAAGGGGTTAAGTCCAGGCAGGGGAGAGATCCAGCCCACAGGCTCACGGGAAACACAGGGTTAAGTCCAGGCAGGGGAGAGATCCAGCCCTCAGGCTCACGTGGAACACAGGGTTAAGTCCTCCAGGGAAGAGATCCAGGAAGCAGGCTTAGGGGGCAGCAGAAGGTTCTCCACAGTGAGGAGATCCAGGCAGCACGGAGTTAACCACACACAGGGGAGGAATCCAGCCAGCAGACTGGCACGCAGATCAGCCAGTGAGAGGAGAGGAGAGCAGGAGGGTGGAAGTTCAGAGGAGGCTGGCCGCAGCCCTGACCTCACTCATACACGGCAGGCAGGAGAACACACGGGGCTGGTGCCCTGCTCTGTCTTAAATACAGAGCCAGGCATGTTGCCGTGGTAACCCAAGACTTCGCGTACAGGGAACGCGGCCTTTGTCCCTGTCGGGCGCGGAGCGTGGGAAGATGTGCACGAGGGGACAGGGGAGGGGGGGGGGGGGGGGGTGACAGGAGGGAGCCTGCCTGTGGATTACCACTGCAGGGGGCAGATGTCTGCAGATGCCTGCTCCCTCAGCAGGGGCCAGATTGCCGGCGACGGGGGTGAGGGGCTGCTGTTGGCTGCCTGTGGCAGTAAAAGGAGGACTAGAAGTCCCAGCAAGGACGAGACAGAAGAGTGAGGGGCTGCTGAGGGATGGGGGGTGGCAGGGAGCAAGCCTGGAGGATGGGGGGGGGGGACCAGCTCCGTGACACGAATAAATAGATGTTTTTTAACCTACGTTTTCCAGCAGTCAGTTTCCATCGTTCAGAAGTGTCCCGTGTACATGGGGGCCTAGGTGTGAAGTAGATTTACAACACGCTTTTGTGACATCTTGATACCACATTGTCCCTTTCATTCGGGTACTTTTAACCTTTGCTCTTTATACTTTTTGATGACGAACACTCTACTTTTTAGGGCCTACTTTGTTGTGGATTATCACCTACATGTTGTCTACATTTTATGTGACTGGGATTAGCTAGTTTTTGGTATCGCATCATGTGATATTCATCTGCATGAATGTTTCCACATTTTTTATACCTTGTCTTAAAACGTCTTTAATAAAAACTATTTGAAAAGAAAGTAAAACCCATAAACCAGATATACTTGCTGCCTACAGGAGAAATTGTACACTGGCAAACAAAAAAAAATGACCGCTCTGGTATAAACCTCTACCACCAAGTATGTTTCAATTTTTTAGTTTCTTAGGAGGCTGCACGCCTTTTCTCCACTAGGAAAATTATAACCATTTGTCACTGATCCAACCCACACACACATACACCCACAGCGACTAGCTAACCGTCCGGCCGTGACTTGGGGTAACAGGAAATGAGGGGGACTTACTTTGAATATATATACGTATATAAGACCAGCCGTGATATACTTTCACAGCCCGCACTACCTCTGGCCACCACTAGAGGGAGACTCCACTCCAATCCAGCTGGCTAACCACACACAAAGGCAGATATGAATCTTATATACAATCTGGTGCACACTAAGGGTTGAGGAGTAGCCTAGCAATCAGCACACCCTTCTAGGATTCCTCCAGCTATCTTACAAGCTAGAATCCCGGTGTTAATCATTCTTCCACTGTCCACACCCCCACACCAGACACACCACCCAACAGTTTTATCCGCAGACTGGCCTGCTGGGCCACACACACACACACACACACACACACCAATCTCCCTCTGGCAGATCTGTTACCTTTACAATCTGCATGCAATCTGCCAACACGCAGTGCAATTGCATACAGATAGGCGATGAACTTGACCGAGCATATAAAGACACTGCAATACAATACAGTCTCTCTGGAGATATGAACCTGAGCTTAAGTACCCAGAAGTCACTTATTAATTTTATGCTTTAATATCCCGAACGTGGGCAGTGCATAAAATATGTACAAAGTATAAAAAGTTACAGAAAATACAAAAAATACAAGACGACACACAATTGGCTATTGACTATAAAATAAAAGGGAATAAAAACAGAAATAAAACTTTTACCAAGAGTTATCCTGCGACTGGAGCAAGTCAGAGAAAGTCCGCAATCCGCCAGTCAATAGAACCGGCTCCGTACGAATCACACTGTCCATATCTCAGGGTCCTCAATTTATTGAGGTATGGACGTAGGCTGGACATTAGCCCTTGGCCAATCAACTCTGGGGGGTGTTCCTGTACCAGCCCACAGGACATTCTGGGTACTGAAATGCCCAAAGTCGATTGGACCAGGAATGGTTTGAATCACCAAGTTAGGGATTGAGTTTCCAACACCAGCGCATCAGTCCGATTGTGACAGTACCAATCACTGTTCAGCTGTCGCAATCAGGCACCATATAACCGTTTTCTGCATTTCTCTGGGATTCTACATAGGCTACAAATACAGTTTTACATGCAGATGTAGCCTACAGTGTGTCCAATCCGAAGGAAGTATTTTCATCTCTCTGCAACTAATATGTTAGCTTTTATGAGAGATGAAATATATTGCTTTGATCTGTATATATACATCAAAGCTCCCAGACACATCGGAACCACCTCTGGTCTCCCGCTGTGTCATGAAGCCGAACTGTCTAGAGCCTTTTCCTTCCAGATTTCCAGAAGGTGACAAATCTTATTGGCATCCAGGTGTCACCTCCATTCTAGAGGATGCTCTGTCCCTTCAGATGCTAATTGGTGACCATATGTCTCTGACTTAATTCTGAACACATCTTATATTATTATAACATGAACTGAAGCTAAACTTACATTGTCATATTTCTACAGATCACATCTCAGCTGCTCAAATCTTACATGTACGTTACACCATTCAACGAACCATTTTTTCTTATCTTACAATTATTTATTTCTTCACTTCATCTACATGCTTCCTGAGTTGAATGTGACTACTGAATCTGCATATTTTTAGCAAAAGCTTTGGAGACCCTTTCCTGGTCACCCCCCACACCATTTAAAAAATGTTCCCATTAAAATCCATACCAGAACTAAGGGCCTGGTTTTGGATTGGGGGGGACATGTTGGTTTTTTTTTTAATGCTGGCACTTGTTTCAAAATTATTGAATCCTTCGAATACAAGCAAATACACAAAAACAATGCTGAAGATACCCATCTGTTGGGCTGCTTTTGGATGTCCCAATTTTATCTGAATCCTGTGTCCATCAATAAATGAAAAAGAAAATAATTTTTTTAGTTACCGTACAATCCTTTTCTTGGATTGAACATTCACTTATGGATACAAATCTAACTCCTCTGTGTTTATGGTCTTGCTCTTGGCAATGCTTGTTACAAAATTGATGCTCACTGTGAGGCTGAGGGATTATACTAGACTGGTCACTTCTTTCTATTTGCTAGTGTCCAAATCCTCTGGTAGTTGGAAGCATAACACAATTATCTCTGAATCCTGTGTTCCTCAATGAACTTCCAAGCAAATATTTTTTACAGGGAGTACGAAAATCTAACTTTCCAAAACACTGCTTAATATTAAAAATTTGCCTCACTTTATTGAAGCAGATAGAACGAGAAATAAACAGACAGGCAATCTGTGGGCACATTGTGCTTTGTCACTCGTTTAGAACATACTAGCAAGAGTGGAGCCATTCTGGATTGGGAAAGATTAAGGATATTACAAACACCAAAGAAGTGTTGCAGAGTTTATTCTCTTTATTACTCATAAATCCTCCTCAAGACTGTATTAATCGGGTTACTAGTTGTTATCCAGGTGGT